GTTTTCTATTTTATGTATTCTTTTTCTTTTTTCTCTGAATTCGGGATTCCATCGCAGCCTCCTTCCCTCAGTGCCAACGAACCCACAAACATAGCTGCCTACGGTTTAGAGGGAGAAGAGGACAACAAACGAGGGGCTGTGACAAACTGTTTCGTCGGAGTTTCACCTACTCATGAGGAGGCTCCCTCTCTGCCTACGGCTTACCGGGCAGCTCTGTTTGACGCTATATATATGTGTTTATAATATGCATATATGTATATATCGTCAGACAGAATTGCTCGGTAAACCGTAGGCAGAGAGGGAGAAGAGGACTATGCATATATGTACATATATTGCCACACTGTGAATCTGAGCGCAAACGCGGAAAAAGACAAAACAAAAAAAGGAAAAAAGTAAGGAAGGAAAGCCCCACCTGCCTGTTCATCACCTCTTACGTACAAGGCCAGCCACGTGGATGACAGGTTGAGCGCTGGCTGCCCCCATCCATCCCCGTGTGTCACAAGGACCCACTTGCACGCAGCCAAAAGGCAAAAAAGAGGAGGAAACCAAACAAACCTGACAGGGAAAGAAAGCCTATCAGTCAAACAAAGCAAATGACACATCCCACAAATAATCCAATTGCCACAAAGCAAATAACACATCCCACAGATCAGCATATTTTTTTCTTTTTTCTTGTTTTCTTTTTTTCCTTTTTCTTGTTTTCTTTTTTTCCTTTTTCTTGTTTTCTTTTTTTCCTTTCCTTTTTTCTTTTTTTCTTGTTTTCTTTTTTTCTTCAACTCCGTATCTGTCGGTAGTGTCGAAGGCTTTATCTGGCCCCACGTCGGCAGATAGGACAGCTCCGGTGAGGATGATGTGGATGTTCACAAGGATACCCAAGGAGAGCTGCGCCAGCACAGCATTCAGCAGGACGGCTAGCACGAACCACCCCATCAAAACAGTCCTGACAGAGGACATGTTGTCCACATGTACAATTGCTTATCAGCTTGACGCTGTTGAACATGAGTTGTTGCATGACCATAATGGTCTACCTCCTGAGGATAGTAATTATACTACCTCAGGAGGCTTTCCTATAAATGCCTTACAGTTAGCATTTCACGGTTGCCACCTTCTCATGCATTATGGGACGCCAGGCGAGGACCTTAATGCCCGTCCTCATATTTCAACATGCATTTTGCACAAACCCGGGCACTATATGGCACTCGTTCGTGCAGTTGCCCAGTGGGAACTGTGGGATGGTGGGACGGTGATTCAGGTTATTGTCAACATAAATGAATTCTTGCGAGGTTTGTCGAATCATACAGTGTTCTGGATTGTTGAGCGTCTCTCGTGCGAGATTTGTCGGGATGGAGACGTGGTGCGTCTTGGTTGTGGAGTGCATTATCAGTGTCAGCACCATTATCAATCCATTGCGACTGCCGCCGTATGTGCGGAAGGGTGTCTAACATTTCCTCATTGTGCACATCCCTATCACCCAGATGTACGTTGTCCTTTCTGTTCCCAAGGACGCTATCAGAACTGCATGATGCCGCACTGTGACGAATGTCCTATGTCGGGATTGTTTCGACGGGATGGTTCGTGCTAGCCGTCCGGCTGAATGCTGTACTAACGCAACTCTCCTTGGGTATCCCTGTGAACATCCCCGTCATCCTCACCGTAGTTGTCCTATCTGCCGAAGGGGTGACAGATGAAGTGTAGAAGAAACAGATAAAGAAAGTAACCGAGTAAAAAGATAAAAAATAAATAAATAAGAAAAGAAACCAAGGAAGGAAAAACACAAAAAAGGAAACCTGAGAAAAAAGAAAAAAGAAAAAAGAAAAAAGAAAAATATGTTCTGTGGGATGGTAATTGGATTATCTGTGGGATGTGTCACTTGCTTCGTCTGTTKAATRGGCTTTCTTCTTCTGTGAGGTTTGGTTTCCTCCGCCTTTTCTTTACCTCTTTGCCTTTTGGCTGCGTGCAAGTGGGTCTTTATGACACACGGGGATGGGGGCAGCCAGCGCTCAACCTGTCATCCACGTGGCTGGCCTTGTACGTAAGAGGTGACGAACAGGTGGGGCTTTCCTTCCTTACTTCTTTTTCTTTTTCTTGTTTTGTCTTTTTCCGCCTTTGCGCTCCGATTTCCAATGTGACAATATATGCATATATATATAGAAAAAAAGAATTAAATCAATTCTATGTTGCGCTCGCAACAGAATTCGACGAACAATTTGAATGCCCAGTGCGTAAGGTAGAGGATGACGTGCGCATCGGCATCTGCGTGCCACGCAGACGATGACGTAGTACGTGGCCATCTGCACCGGCATGACAGGCAGATGATGACGTGGCCGGTAAACCGTCGGCAGAGAGGGAATACCCGACGCTCCTCAGCCATCCGTTCATGTTCCATGCTTTTTCTGAATTAAGGAAAAAAAAAAAAAAAAAAAACAGAGATACGTTTCTCGTCCTCGTGTACGTTCCCCATGTGTCATTCAAAAAAAGAAAAGAATTTGTTTCTTCCACATGTTATTTCTGCCTATGCTACGCTGGGCCCGTTTCCGAGCCCGTGCTGCTGCTCGCCACCCATCATAGCTCGGATGTCCAGGGTAGATGAGAGAGACGTATATTGCAAGTAGAGATGCAGATGCACATCAACAGTACCCCGCCCGTGTACACAAACCGAACGGTGTACGGAAAAATGCTTGTACGGAAAAATGCTTGTACGGAAAAATGCTTGAAAGCCAGTTCTGGTGGCTGTCAGGCTCCCCGACCGGCAGCGTCAGGTCACACTTAGCCGAAGCCGGGTAATGGCCCCAGTACCTTCAATCTTTTCTAGATACGTTTTCACATGGGACGCTATATGTTTTCACATGGACGTTGGGCCCGGTTCCCAGCACGTGCTCCTCCCCACGAATAGATTGGAGTCTTTTCTTCTCAAACACAAAACAAAAAGGGATCCCCGACCGGTTCGGAAAACCGCCACGTGGCCGTCACCCTCAGGGGGGTTCCGCCTTCTCCCTCATGCATAGACCGTCTTCCTGTCCGCATCCTCCGTCGTCGCCTCTCCGATCATCTCCGTAGTTGTCGACAGTACAAAGACGGTCCTTCCGGCATCATCCGTTAAAGAGAAAGAAGATAAGCATGGCCCCTGCGCAGTAGACCCGTCGCAGCTTCGCTTGCAAGAAAACAGCAGGGAATAGCAACGATTTTTTTCCCCCCCCTTTTTAAATTGGGGTAGTTAGCTCACCTGTTATTTGCGGCTTTCCATGGAAGGAACATTTGTTTTCATGTGCTGTGTGCACTGACTTCCACAGTTGCAGTCTGAGAAATCTGCACTTTCATAGGAAATGATGTCCTGTTCATCAGTTTGCTGAGAATTCCAATTCCGAGGCTGTTTGTTGTATGCATGTCTTGTGCTTGACTCCTGAGTTCTCTCTCTCTCTCTCTCTCTCTCTCTCTCTCTCTCTCTCTCTCTCTCTCTCTCTCTCNTCTCTCTCTCTCTCTCTCTCTCTCTCTCTCTCTCTCTCTCTCTCTCTCTCTCTCTCTCTCTCTCTCTCTCTCTGTCTCTGTGTGTGTGTGTGTGTCTGTCTCTGTCTGTGTGTGAGTACCGCCAAGAAGCAGGATCTGCAGCAGGAGGTGAATGTGGAGGAGGAGGACGAAAACAAAAAAACCCTTGTAGTCTTTCTAGCCTCAGTGTAATGTGATGATCGTCTTTCCTGCACTCTGCTGCGGAGGATGAGGAATATATATTGGCATCCCGATCAGAAGGATGAAGTGGAGGAGAGGGATATTGACTTCCGAGTCAGAAGAGTAAAGTGGAGGAGAAGGATGATGTGTAGGAGAAGGACGACATAGATAGAGGGAAAAGACATGGAGGAGGAGAAAGATGAGGAGGAGGGACCATGGCAACACAAAACGGAAAGCGAAACGGACATCAATAACGAAAACATAAACGGAATCACCATAGCCTCCCCGTTCCCCTTTTCCTCGCCAGCTTCTTCACGTCATTCTCATCATCCTAAACCTCCCTCTCGTCCTCATCATCATCATTTCATCTCTCCTCTCCTTCCACTCACTCCTCACCCTGCTCTCCGTCCTCCCATCTTATCTTCAAACCATCATCGCTTCTTCCCCTTCCTTTCCCGTGCTTTCCTGGAGGTAGGAGGATATTGGCCTCCACGGCTTCCACATGGACCTGGATATATGCAGCGGCTGACGTGAGGAGGACGAAGCGAAGAGAAGGATGACGTGGAGAAGAACAACCGAAGAAACACGAGTGAAGGAGAGGAAGAGATTGAAGAGAAAGATAGGCGGCATGGAGTATCCTGAAGCGAAATAGAAAGACAAATCGGATATTACTGAAGACAACGAAAAATGAAACCATCATTTCCCCCTAAGCATTTTCCTATCCCGCTTCTTCCTGCCGCCAGCAACGTCATTTTCCTACCCCTCCTCCTCAGATCACTCGCTGATAAAAACCCAAAAGTAGCTCTCCGGTTGTCGTCTTCTCCTTCCTCATCGCCACCTCTCTCTCTCTCTCTCTCTCTCTCTCTCTCTCTCTCTCTCTCTCTCTCTC